CATGTGCCCTTGCGACTGCCGGGGAGAGCGGGCGCGCGGGAGCGAATCGTCGACATCTCGCACACTCATGTTGGCAGCAAGCACCGTCGTCGTCACCTGCATCACGTGTGAGTTGGTGCGTGTGCGAGCTTGTGTGTGAGTAAAAGTGAGGGATTGGGCGACCAACCGAGGATGTGTGTATGTGTGTGTGTGTATGTGTGTGTGTGTGTGTGTGTGTGTGTGTGTGTGTGTGTGTGTGTGTGTGTGTGCATCATCATGAATCCCTTCCAGCACCACCACAACCACCACCACTACAGTCACTGCCCCCGTCCCGCCACAGCACCCCGCGTGCACACCTCGGTCTTGTCCAGGGGCCCATCGGGATAGCAGAGGCCGTTGACGCGCGCATATATGTGCTGCTGCAGATCAGAGTACGACGCGAATCGGCGCTGGCAGAACGGGCACTCGTGATGATCGTTCTCAGATCGATCCACAAACACAATCGCGCCCTCTTCTTCTTCTTCTTCTTCTTCTTCTTCTTCTTCATCAGCGTCTGCTCTTCCTCCCTCGTCATCACCAACACGACGGTGTTGGTGATGGTGGTGGTGATGGTGGTGGGAATGCGGCAACCCTCCCTGACCAACGCCGGCCTCTGCTTCCTCCTACACACGTGAGCGAATGAGCAGATGGGCGCGTGAGCAAGTCAGGTGCGTGAGTGAGTGTTCCATGTGTGTGTGTGTGTGTGTGTGTGTGTGTGTGTGTGTGTGTGTGTGTGTGTGTGTGTGTGTGGATGTGCCTATGACCTCACTCCCAAGATGCACAATTGCTGCACTCCATGTCCAACGCAATCGTAGATGATTGGTGGAACTGTGCATCAGACCGCTGCCCCCGTAACCCCAGCACAATTGAACGCACACACACACACACACACACACACACACACACACACACACACACACACACACACAAAATACGCGCACACAAAGACACGTTATGCATCACAGCAGGACCCACCGGTGGGAAAATGGCGGATGGCATGTCGCGTGCATGTGGATGGACAAACGGCCCGGCCTGGACTGCTGGTCCTGCCGTCACGCGCGGCTGCTGCTGTGACTGTTGGTGATGCATGGAGGACTGCCCGCGCCTGTGGGAGGAGTCCACCATCACATACCGGACAGACGGGCCGCCCATATTCGACGCAAACGAACTGAACCAGTGTGTGTGTGTGTGTGTGTGTGTGCGTGTGTGTGTGTGTGTCGATGGCAGTGAGGCTGCAGTTGTGTGTTCGGGTGCAAGGACGTCATCGCCCACGATACCACTGCACAACTTATCCCTCTATTATCTTTCACGTACTGATGTTGTGATGGCTGCTGCTGCTGCTGCTGTTGCTGAGGAAAGAGCGTGCTTCCGTTGCCTGCATGCATGCCAGCACCGTCGCCTGTCTCGCGCTCCACATGTGCACAAATCTCCTCCGTTGCCACCACCTGTTTGCCATGCGTCACATGGTACAATGGGTGTGTGAGGGTTAAGCTTCTGCGCGAGCGTGCGTGCATGCGTACATGTGGATGTGTGCGTGTGCGTGCGTAAACCTGAAGGCAGTGAGTGCTTCAGAACGAGCCACACAAGCGCACACAACGTGCCAGCCCACAACTGCGCGCTCACCGTTGTCTTTGCGCGGGGCGGGTAGCCGTGCGGTTCCGCAACAACGAGCCACAGGTGACGCGTGGTCCATGCCTCGAACATGCACATGGCAACCTAACTCAACAGAAAGCAAAGTGTAATGGCATTGAGTCAGCTGTCATTCTTAAGACAGCAACAGCAGTTGCTCTCTCAACGCGTGGGCCTTGTCTTTCTCGTGCATTCACGTGCACACACACACACTTGTTCACGCACATTTTTTCACGCACACACACACACACACTTGTTCACTCACACACACACACACACACACACACACACACACACACACACACACACACACACACACACACCTGGTCTTCTGTGAGTTGCTCCTGCCACCAGTCTGAGAACCTCAGGGATGGCTCATAGTAGTAGGAGGAGCCAGGAAACTCCCGTCGAAACGCGGCAAACAGGTTTTTGCAGCCGGTCTCCTGCTCCAAAATGTCGTGCAGGTCATGCACAGGACCAAGCTCGATGCCAAAATCGACGTACATCTTCACAATCAGATCTTCCCGGACGTTGTAGCCGACCTACAACACGGAGCGAACATACCGCGAAGCATCGTTTGGCTGGTTGGTGGGCACACAGCACCAGCAAAACACATGATACATTCGACGTGGCAAACACATGATACATTCAACGTGGCTCTGGCAGGCACGACAGGCACACTTGCTTTGGTGTAGTCCTGATGCGTGAGTAGAAGCTGCAGTGATGCAGGCATTTTGCCGCTCTCTGTAGGGGCAACGCACAGGCGCAGCAATCACAAGGACACGTGTGTGGTGGCATGAAGTGAGCGTGGTCAGTGCCAAGCTGGCAGCTCGTAGCCTGCAGCATCAATCGC